CAGGCAGTGTGGAAAGACAGGAAGAGGACAAGCATGAACAAACTGTCCCTCTCTCTCTCTCTCTCAAACACACACCCTTCGGGGGTCATTGAATGGTGAGTTTTTACCCATTAAGGATGACGCGAATGACCTGGTGGCCTCCGTGTCAATATATATAAGGCTGACACTCTGTGTGGTTGTGTACGTATGTGTGTGTGTTTGTGTGTGTGTGTCCTGGGGCTCCCCAGTTGACAAGAGACGTGCACGGAGACCCGTGCTTTTTCCGCGTCACCTTTGTTTCCACATGAATTATCCATCATGGCCGAGGGTGGTAATCGAGCTGCTAAGGCAAGCCTTATTACAATGTTGGTCATTTAGCCTATTAGCGATGCTCTTACCTCATTCCTTGGTCAACTCAGATTGCATGGAAAACAGAACAGTCAGCATGTTAAATGGGCTCAGGGAAGGTTGGGTGAGTTAAGGGCTATAAAGCGACGGCAGCTGATACAGCACATGTAGGCTCGCGGGGAGACGTTGTAAACCTCAGGCCACATAGTCGTTGGTGGGTCAGTGCACAACTCTGGTATGGTGAGCTCATGATCATGAAAACTAATATTTAAAGAGGGGACAAGTCAGGACATGGAGCTAAAGTGTATATTTGCAAATAGGCTGAGCATTAGGGAAAATTACACAGCTTCCAATGCACCAGGCACACATAGTTTAGACTTGGAAAAGATCAAATGAACAGATCTTTTAAACACTTTTAGGAGACCATGAGTAGGTTGGTCTCACCTGCTGTGAAAACAGACGTAAAATTGCAGGAATTTTCCGTCTTAAAAAAGAGGTGCAAATTGGGAAAAAACATCTGTTTTTTAACAAGCTGAATATGATGTAACTGTGTGATAAAATATTCAATGATGGTTCCTTATTTCAAAAGGACTTGTTGGGCTTGCGCGATTCTTTTTTCATAGATTACTGTGTGATGTTGCCCACCTCTGGCCACTGTGTGCAATGGCATCACCCAACGTGCTGTGGCTCACATGGCACGATGAGAACAGCAGTGACCAGCTGTACTCGGGGTTCACGGGTTGAGCGGATCACCAGACATCACAAAAACATGATATGGAATAAAAATACTGCTGATTAATGCAATGGCTAGTTGTATAATGTTCGTAGTTCCTCTTGAGGGACTTTTTTTAAATCGAAGGAAATAACATCTGAGTAATCTCCCACTGTTGTGGAGTCTTCAAGAGCTCTACAGCGGAGACTTTGAGCTCAATACAAACGCATTCAGTAATTCAGCATTTTAATGGAGAATATGGCCAAGGGAATTACCCACAGTTGATTGTAATGGCACGTAAAACAAGGGTTAACTTGACATTTGAGAACATTCATTTTTTTATAGTAAAAATGGAGACTAAATATCCTATATATATATATAAAATAATGTCCTATTACTGAACTGTAATGTGTGCATCATTCAATGACTACGTAGTTAAGGTGTAGGGTCAGGATGGTCTGATATTGAATTAGAAATTCCAGTTTCCTCAGCCTCAACTGCATCGAACTTGAGCGCTGGATTTTCCCCTTCGAAATCCTGGTTTCATATCCAGTTTGCAATTGTTAACCGGGCACAACCTGTCCCTTAAAATCCATTTGTCGGCTCATGGCCTTCAAAACAGCAGTACCCTACCACTGACCCCAAACATCAGCTGTAGACAAAACTAAAACAGCCCCGGGGGAAACTAACATTACCTTGAACTCAGCACAAGACTGTGTGAAGTCTTGCCAGGCCTGTGAACATGACCTGGGGGGGTGCTTGTTAAAGCGTGGAGGGGTAGGCGGGCGGAGGAAGAGGATGGAGCAGAGATGAAGGGAATACTGCTCTCTCCATCGCAGACAAGACAAACGATGCACAGACAGATGGCACTCGACATCGCTGCCACATTCAGTTAGTTTCCAGTTACAACAAACCGACTCCGGATCAGCGGATGCTTAAGTCACGCAATAAATTAGCCCTGAGCCCAAAGCACTGAGTAATCTTTGCCACAACAAAACCTCCACAACAATTAATGAACAGCATGCGGGCAAAGGATTAAGGCAACGCCTGGGTGTATTCTTTCAATGGCCACATGGTGGTGGTGGTGGTGGTGTAACTCATGAGGGAGTGGTGGAGAGGACACAAGGCCAAGGGGTCAAACATGCTGTACAAGTCATCGGCTAGTAAACCAGATCAGTCACGTCTAAATCACAGTCGGCCCATGATATTCTACCACAGCTACTAATAGCCATAGTGATGGAGACGTAGCGTGGGACCGCAGTTGCCAAGGTCGGGCCTTGGCAACTGCGGTCTCAGGCAAATTGGACAGTATCAACAATTAGCAGATACGTAAGGTAATAACGAGGCATACTGGGAAATAGAATATATAGAACAACAGGTGGTGATACGCTTCCATAGCGTATCAGGGTTACAGGCCGGCTGCGTCACACAAGAGCCCCCAGGTGTCACGATGTGACCAAAAAGGGAATTATCTACGGCTAAAGGTTTATGTTTTATTTGAGGGTAGTGGACTTTAGGTTGAGTCAGTGTTTAGATTTATTTATTGTGTTTATCTTGTCATTTGTATAGGTCAGGATGGAGCTGCTTGCATTGGGGTGAATTTGACATTTGACTGTTAACCTAGGATGTTATAGCTTAACAGATACTATAAAGAAATGTATGTCTCACATTAGACATTCCCTTGAAAAATATTGATTTTCAAACTTTATTTGGAATATATGATCAGTCTGAATCATTGTATTGTGCCACAAGATAATTTACTGTACATTAAATGTGAAATAGCTGGATTTTCGATTCCCTTTCTAATAATATCATTTGGTTGGTTTGTGTTGTATGTTTTTTTTTTATAATTTAATGTCCTATTAGCAAAACAATGTAAGCATTGTATTAAGATTGTCTTCTACTTTTTGTCTGCAATTTTCCATTTGACTGCAAATGTTAATGTCTAAGATGTGAAAAATTGATCTGATGCAATTTTATAAATTATATCATCTACTATGTTCTATAAAAAAAGTTCCACAGATGCCTTCATTAGTTCCCTCGGGGGTCAAGAGAAAATATTTTGTCAAAAAGAATGCATCAGCATCTCACATCGTTAATTCAGGAAAACATTATATTTTTATTGTTTGAATGCTTTTTTTTTAGATGCAATATTACTCAATGTAAAGATTTTGAGACACTTTTACCTGAGTTGGAAATTTTGGGATCTGTTCTCAGATTCGGTTTACCAGCACTTGAGATTACAAAATAATAAATAGTAGCACCTCTAATAAATGATGAGGTGACTGTAAAAAAATTAAGCCAATTCAACAACAATATGGGTAACCAACCTAAATAAAACATTTACTATACTAATGCATCCACAATTCAACACAGCCACCCTTCAGTGACAATTCAGATTAGTTTATAATTTGATACCTTGATGAAACGTGCTGAATGCAATTGGATTGCATTTACAAAATTTGACATGTAGGCCACTGCAAACCACGGATGTTGTGAAAAGGGTCGCATACCGTTTTTTGTGGAGAAAGTGTGAAACCGCTTTGTCATTCTTAACCGGATTACACCCAACGAGCCAATGGAACTACATCCCCAAAAGGCCTCCAGGAACCAGAGAGAGGGAGAGGCCGTTTTAAAGATACATTTTGGAAGGTTCAGACAGCAGACACACATTGTAATTTTGGTCACACACACGCACACGCGGAGAGGCTCCAAGCTCCGACCCTCAAAATACCCACACGTTCGTGCAGCGGAAGTTTTTAAGCAACCTTATCTGAGGCTTTATCTGAGTTGGAGATGTGCTGCAGAAAGACAGGTCAAAGGGGAGCGCGGGGCTGCTGCGGGACGAAGCATTAGGGAAATGAAACACATGCCAGACCTGTCATGTTCAATTTACAGGTGACTGAATGGTTTATTCTCCGGTAGCACGCGGAGGACGCGATCAATCCGGTGCGTGATGTATCGTTCCACGTGATTCTTTCTTTTTTTTTCTTAATAAATTTCTTTTTTTTGTAACTAATGGTTAGAACACAATGACACTGTACAGTCAAACCACGCAAAGCCGCGGAAATCAATCACGGTGGACACGTTTTCCTCATGTCTTTGCCCTCTCCCCCCTTCTCCCCCCCCGCGCGTTTACTTTATTTCGCCAATTATTACGGCAAGAGCCGGGCCAGTGTTGACTCTCGCTGCGCCTGAGAAAGATTGTCCAGCCATTCATCAGCTCTCCGGGCGCACAAATAGTCTTTAAAACTATAAACACCATCGCTGGGTTGGAGACAGGGGGACCCATTTACCTCGCGGCTGTGCTAAACGCTGTAGATAAAACAAACGATAATACTGTCTGTCTCCTGTGACCGTCTCCACACGCATTAATAGCAGCTTTAGTGCCAACCGTGCGGAGGGAAACGCGTGTATAGATTATGCGTCATTGCGCACAGCTGGCGCCATTATGTGCGGCGAATTGAATTGTCCTTACTGTACTGATCCATATTTTGTTAAATGTTATTTGACACCATCTCATTTAATTAAGGAAGAACGCACGGATGCACGGAGGCTCGTTCAGTAGAATTTAATTTGGAATTCAACAAGAAGTTTGAGAAATTGACGGAATGAAAATACAATTGGGCTGTTTTATCGGTCACAACGCGGGTGACATATACGACACATCTTTAGGGCCTGCAGCGTGGGTGGGAGTGTGCGCGCAGGTTTGTTGTCATCTGTTATCACGTCCTGATAACGCCGACAGTGGCTCCAGAATCTGTCGGAGGCAGACAGCAGAGTGTGTCGCTCATGGTTTCAGGTTCCGTGTTCCAGGGACCCCAAACCCGTCGTCTGCGCCCCCCTCTTTCTTGGCGCTCGTCTGCTCCGTTTCCCCTCGGATGACGGACGGGCCGACACCCCAAACACACGCACGCGCTCGATCAGTCTCATCAGACACATACAAAGCTTTTCAGGATTTACCCCCAGGAAGCCAAATGATGACCCGTTTAACTGGAGATCGTTGATATTCACGCGTCGTATTGCGCGTAATGACTGTGAAACTAAAAAGGTATATCCATCTCAAAAAGTTACCAAGTTTGACTCTATTTATGACGTTTTTAAAACAAGTCTACCCCCAAACAATGGCCACATTTCCCTCAGGATCAAGCAAATGACTGATTTGGTGAATGCGTAATCATTTGCTTTGTAAATCGAACAGCTGGGCTGATGTGGTACACGTGCAGTTTTTTAACACATGTATATGCACCAGACATCCCTTTACGTCACGGAATGGGAGTACCAGTGGCTCCATACAGAGGGTCCCACCGGCTAAGCCCTCCCTCCCTCCCTCGCTGCGTCACCGGGAGGAGAGGGAGGACAAGACAAAGTTTGGAGACAGAGTTGACACTCAAAATGCACACTTCACTCAAGATCAGTCTGCTCTACCAAACTCATACTTAAATCCAGTAAATAGTGCCAGGAAGGAGAGGGAGTTTGTTGACGTCTTCTTTGTTGCGCCCTTATGACAGGTTAATAGATTTTTTTTTCTTTAGTTCTTGGCAATGTTTCCCAGCCCCAACAGCACGTCCACTCCCTTCTCTGTAAAGGATATATTAAACCTGGAGCAGGGTCATGACGTTTCGGTGTCTTGTCTGGACGTTTCTTCTCGCATGGACTGCTGCACCGTGCCGACCTCCTCCTCTTCCTCCTCCTCCTCCTCCTCTTCTTGCATGCTTGCCCGGCTGAAGCAGGAGCCTCTCCGGAACATGTCGTCCGCCGCCGCCTCGCTGTTCGGAGAAGACCTTTACGAGTCCAGGGGCGGCAGAGGCGATGCGCTCAACTTTGCCACGGCCGTTTATGGGAAATCCCTCTTGGAAATGGATATAGTGAAGGATGGAGAATCAGACGCCTTTGAGGCGAGACGTAGAAAAGGTGAGTTGGGAGGGGTGGCGGGGTTGGAGGGGGGCACAATTTGCTCTCGCAGGCCTGTGCGAGAAATGAGGCCCGCAGGCTCGTGTCCTTTTGATTTGCGCAAAAACGCGCCAGATGTTCCCAAAACAAATCATTTAATGCAATACGAAGACACTCGTGTAGTTCGATGCAGACTTTGAAAGTGGACTATTCTAATTTAGACAAATATAAGTTGAGCCGGGTTAGATTTTTCTCATCACACTGAATGCAAAATGGGTGACCAAAGGGACTGAAATACTAACACGAATTGCTTAAAAACACCATAATAAGTTACGGCATATAATTTAAATTACGTTCTTATTGTTTATTATTGTTTTTGGTCACTGAACATAGCTCTAGGCCTGAATTAAATTAAATATCCAACCAGCCCCTTTGTTAACAAGTCACTTTTGCAGATGAAATATGTACATTTTCCATCTTTTCTTTCCGTCTGGTGCGACCAGAGTTCAGTTCTGCGAACGGGCCCGGGGACATCAAACCCGACGACCCGGATCGAGCCAAACCCCGGAGACGCAGGAAGCCGCGCGTCCTTTTTTCGCAGGCCCAGGTGTACGAGCTGGAGCGCCGCTTCAAGCAGCAGAGATACCTGTCCGCCCCGGAGAGAGACCACCTGGCCGGCGCGCTCAAACTCACCCCGACCCAGGTGAAGATCTGGTTCCAGAACAGGAGGTACAAGTGCAAGCGGCAGAGGCAGGACCAGAGCCTGGAGATGGCGTCGGTGCCGCCGCCCAGGAGGGTGTCGGTGCCGGTGCTGGTGCGGGATGGGAAGCCTTGTCTGGCGGCGGATGCAGCTACCTACAACCCCTCGTACAGCATGGGTCACATCAGCCATTTCTCTTATAACAACTATCCGGCATTCAGTAACTACACTGGTCCCAGCTGCAACACAAACTATGCGTGCAGTTATCCCGCAGGCACGATGCAAACGATGCAAGGATCCTCCAGCAACGGGAATTACATGAACTTTGGGGTGGGGGACCTGAATAATGTCCAGAACACATTCTCCTCCGGTAATGGGGTGTCTTCGTTACATAGCATTAGGACATGGTAAACCGTTGGTTATTTACGACGGCATGTATTTCTTTCAAGGTGTGGAAAAGTTTGTGTAACTGATTATATTTAATTACTTAGTTTGGCTAGTTTTCTGTGTTTTTTCAGCACCATTCTGAATAGTCTACATTTTTATTTATTTAATTTGCATTAGCAAAAAAAAAAAGAGAAATGGTTATATTGTCCATTTTAAAAGATAATTACGTTTTTTATTTAATTAATTCTTGATTTTCTTCACTCAATGTCAATATACTTTGCCTTTAAATATTAGACAATTTGCAGGGGGCTATAATGAAAAGAAAAAGATTGTACTTGTATTGTTAAGACAAAAAAAATGTTCATTTTTATAAGGCTATTATTAACAACAATCATTTTATTATTATTTGTCAATATTGCTGACATCTAACTATTTAATACTAATGCTTTGTTATTTAACATAGTAATTTCCTCTCACTTTCAATTCCTAAATATTGAAAAAATATGATAAAAGTAAGTCATAGTGAACTCTGGTCGCATAATGGTTGAACTGGACCATAAAATCTGTCAGCTCCCATGTGGTTTGTGTCCGGTTAAAATGTTCAAGTGGCTATTAGGAAGCTTCCTTCAATATGCTTAAACAAGGTTAAAAGGTTGTAAAAGGTTTACACTTTTAACGACCCGCTGTCAGCCACGTGTACACTACACGCATGTTTAAAGATGTCTACCGCCGTGACCTTGGCCTGTATTAAATGTTATTTCATCAGGCTCTGCTGAGGAAATGCTGTTTTTTAATTTAGTGAACCAAACATTTTCAGTTTTTTTCATTTGCTGCGTTTTGTGTACAAGGATTTCATACCAAATCTGCCAAAAGCCATCCTGAAAATCAGCGTCGTTTTCTCTGTATTTGTAAATGTGATTAATCTATTTTTTGGAAAGTACACTTGGTTATTAAAAAAAGACTTGTCTTGAAGAAAAAACAATCTGCCTTGCTAAATCCTTACAGTGTTGTATTTACGAATTGACCAAGCAGTGCTAACAGAGACAAAGTACCGAGTATTTCAATAACAGTCAGATAATTAACTTAACAAACAACTTTAGAAGTGGAAACTTCTTCATGGATGCAGTCAGATTCCGCCGGGTTGTTTATGGCATCAGTGTGATGCAGTTTACGCTTCACTGAGTCCTCTTGTGCAGACAAACCCAAACACTTGATTGATACTATCACAGTGCTAAATGCAAGAATAGTCCAATTTGCTTGACACAGAGCCAGGAGGTGTTTAAGTGTGCCGTTATATGAACGGGCTGCAGCTCTGCTGCCGGCACTTTACACTCGTAAGAGACGCTCATCTCTCAGGTCCCTCCGCACAAGCTCGGCTGTCCCAAATCATTTTTAACCGTACACCATCAGAGACACATCAAGCCGGAAGACTATATGTTTATTGATGACCAATACCGACAACAGTGGCATAGATCGAATAAAGTGGCAATGCCAGCCAATTGCAGAGAGGGTTGCAAGGTCATGTATGCAGCTCCTCTGGCCTCCCTCTCCTGCGAGGTGTTGAAAAGGCAATGTCAGATAACAGCGCCACACAAACCTAAAAATATCCCCCCTCACCCTCCACCCACGGTGGAAAGGGAGAGGGAAACGGGCCGGAATAATCTGCTTTTCCGGGTCTTATCTGAAGAAAGGCAGGGATGCATGCTGCTCTATCTCTGCCAGCGGGATGAACACGGAGGCTTTTCTGAGCTTTTCTGCTGTGCTGCAGAGCTAACGCGGGCAAAGATGGAGGGCAGCATGAGCACCATTTTCTTTATTGGTGTCACGCTAAATGAATAAAACGTGTAGAATGTGAAGTGCACATGTACAAAAACAAATGGAGGAATAAATAAGAGAGGCAATGCTTTTCAAACCCTAATATTTTTCCTACAACATATGTCCTTAACATCTAACCGTAATGTGCATTAATAGTAATTATTGTAGATTTGTATAGCACAATAACGGTGCTAGAATGACATGCAGGCCAATAAATACACATTGATCTGAAATGAAAAGCGCACTTTGTTTGGTTATCATCGGATTCCACTAAAATTCTGTTTATATTATTCTTAGACATTTTCATGAGATGAGACAGTATTTAAGGTGAATGATATTCTGTTATATACACACTATATTTGTATATTAGGGCTGTCAAAGTTAACACGTTAATGTATGAGATTATCGTGGCCGAGATGAATGCGAGACCTCTGCGTGCTGCAGTCAGTTAGATCGGAGAGGCCGAGACAGTTGTTAAAGTTAGAGAGAGCCTTTTGCATTGGAAGCAAAACAAACGGAGGCGCAACATACAGCGGAGAACTGCAGAGGAATTCCTCCACGTGTCAAACAGAAGGGGGATGATGGCAAACGGGCCACTTTTGGACTGATGGTCCGTAGTGCTCCACTGCTTCTATCTCGACATCTACCCTGCACACAGTCTGCAGAGGACCACTGTGTCCCTAAAAGACGTGGTTTGGGAAAACGTCCTGGCTAAACGTGGGGAGATTGTTGACACTTCACACAGCCGTCAAATGATGGAGAGTTGAGAGCACAGCAAAGAGCACGAGGACAGCGGGAAGAGTCGCTAGTTCAACATGTTGCACCTCCAAGATGATCGCATGTCACTTTCTAAATTGATTACTCGTTACTCTTTAAGAAAAATACCATTTTAAACACACACTCACACCCTGTCTTTGATACAAGACTATGAATGGAAACAAAACTGTATTGGACACCTTCCACAGGAATATAAAAAATAAATGATCATTATGGGTTCACAACTGACTTAATTGCAAACAATGCGAGCAACACTGTCACACTAAAGATGGATACACAATATGGATATCAAACACAGAAATTAATTATTCCCTTTGTCTGTTGAAGCAAAACCATCTCAACAAATGAAACACTGCAGGGAACCGTTCATCTTGCCCCTTAGTGGAGAATATTTCCTCCTCGGCAGCGTCAAAGTTTGGCAGACTGAGCCGTCCACATTCCACCCGGCAGACACTGGTGATGTGTGTGAAATACGACACGCAGGAGTAAAGGTTGTTTAAATCCTTTGCGCTGAACATGGAAAGGTTGGTGTTTTCATGATGGGAGAGCTCCTCAGAAAAGGTACCTGGTCTATAGGAAGGGGAACAGTCTCTTCTTGAGGATGTAGAGGACGGTGGCGAGGAAGAGGGCGAGTGCCAGGAAGATGAGCAGTTTATCAGTGAGCTCTCTGCGGTTGTACTTGGTGATGAGCTTCCTCCCGTGCTGGATGGTCCCCGTCATGGCCTTAAACTCCTCGTTGGTCTCTTGGATTGTCCTTGAGGAGGTCGCTGCAAAGAGGAGTTTCATATAAATGGGTAGATATTTTAGATGGTGTGGTTTAACATTGAATCGGTAAATCCATGCATTTGAAGCCAGTGGCCTATAGGGTTTTTGTCCATGACAGGCAACACATTCACACAGTACCAATGACTTATATATCTAAATGAGTTCATGATGTACAAGATAACAAGATTATAAGGGATTTTACCGACATGTCAGCAACACGGTATTTTCTTCACCAACCTAGTGACGTCATGGTCTCCTCGCTCTGTTCAACCCGCTGCGCCATCATCCGGCTGATGCTCATAAGATTCTCTGTAATGTCGCTGGTTGTCTGTGCCAGGCCCTCTTTGGTCGTCTTCCTGAGAACAAAGAAGAAAATACCACATTAGAAGCTCTGGAACTTAATTCATATATTCTGTAAAAATGGCTAGGATGTAAAAACAACTTTGTATTCAAGAAATAAAACATTAATTGTTGCTTGAAAATACTTAAATTATGAAATTATGCATCAGCATCAGCTTACCTCTGTCTCACACCACCGCCGGCTCCGTAAAGAAGTGCCTGCTTCTCCACATTGTCTAGAGACAGTTTGCTGGCCAGGTTGGCTTTCCTCCACCCGGTCTGGTTACTGCAGGAACAGACATGACCAATATGTGTGAATATTTTCATGAAGTAGACATTATGCAAGTTTATAGGCAAGTTGCAAATGCTTTTATCCCACCAGTCTGGCAGCATTATCAACTGAGAAATTTGACAACAGTTCACATTTATACAAGTCAGACAACTAGTTGAATATATTACCTCAGCATCTGTTTCCTGTGTCCCTCCACCTGACTCATCAGAGCTTGCTTCTCTGACTCTTTGTCCTGCTCCATAGCAATCTGCTCAAAATCCTGTCAAAGAGGCACAAATATTCTCTCAGCCTTGGACCACAGCCGGGGTAAAGTGAACGCATGGCCCATTGAAGCGTTCTGTCGTGTTTGCACGGTTCTTACCTGAATCCGCAACCTGAGCTTGTGGAAACTCTTTTTCACATCTGCGTTCAGTTCCGTCAGCTTGTTTTTAGGGCCTTTGTACTCAGTAATGTCCTGGTGAAGTCATCAAAACAAGAATAAGAAAGAAACGTGCACGCGTGCTTTTGTCAGTGTAAGATGAAGATAGCGGGATCAACATCCTGCTTATTGAGAACTGCAAAGACTGTGAGCTGCCACTGAGACTCGGCAGACAGGCTTCAGGCTGTTAGGTGTGAATAATCTATAAATTGTGATACACAATGAGCCAAGAAAATAAGGAAGTCTAGGCCTGCAATGATCATTTGCCTTATGAATTAATTGCAATTCCCACCGTTTAAAAAGCCATTGAATCAAATTGTTAATGAATCGTACTGATTATGAAAATCAATTTTTTTTTCATTTTTGAATAAATCAACAAAAGCATCAGTGCAAAGTATAATATAAAAAATATGATATAAAGCTAAATAAAAAGATAATAACCGAGTGGGAAAAGTCTAATCAAAATAGGGGAGGATTAGTCTTACGTAACATGAATTATTGCACTTCGATCCTACTGGAAATCGGACTGAATATGAATCATTTCTCACCGACAACAAATTAACGTTTACTTTAAATTTGCGACACTTAAAAGTGGTCCAGTTTCATTCTTATTTTACTGGCTGTTTTGCACAATTCATTTCTCAGGGTGCGCATTGTGCATTTTAAAGAAACGCTCGCGCTGTCGGTCCACCGGTTGCCTGCAGCTGGAATCGATAAGTTAGCATGAATGCTATCAGACAACTACTCCATTCCTTTGAATGACAAGCTCAAGAAACAGCGCGTCATGACGCGGCGCAAATGAATCTTACCAAATAAATACTCGCACCTGGATGAGAGCTTTGATTTCGATGTCATATTTCAGTATTTCTTGTTCACATATTCGGACGTGAACGTCTGAGGACGCCATGTTGCCGTCGTCGGTTTCAGACTACGGGAAGCAGGGCGGCCCATGCGAACGTTGCCGTACACACCGGGCTGCTAGTGTGTGGTACTACAAAATCAACCAGACTATTCAAAATAATGTCCTCTATATCAACAATACATACTTACATTTATTTGATATGCAGTTGGAAATACATGTACTGAAGTGAGACATTTAGTCTTTTGTGTTTACAGACCCTGAACATATATTCCTATTTAATAACATTATATCTAAAAACAAAATGCATTCATCTTTATATGTCACAATCATTAAATAATATCTACAATATTACGGACGAGGAAATTTAAGTAAAACGGTAAAAGTCCTGAGGTCTGAGACACAAGTGACAAATGTATTGACCAATAGAGTTGATTATTGGTTTATTATTAACAACTTTTGAACGTATTACATCCATCACTATCATTGAGACAAAATGACAACACATCAAACACACATCATGAGGCAAAGGCACACTTATTAGCAGCAGCAATAAACACAATATACATAACATATAAACCAAACAACAAGTGAAGGATGTTTTAATTTAAGTCAAGCACATTCAATGAGATATTTCACGAGTCCTTTGGAAAAGTTTTGTTTTTTGTACAAGGCACCAGTGTGGGCGTCACTCAGTAATCACACAGGGGTCGGAGTTTAAGGCGATTCAGAAGGAATGATCCCTGCATGAAATAAGAAGAAAGTATCTATTGGTATGCATCCGTATCAGGATCTTCCCTGCTGGCAGACACTACAGTAAACAGAGTTTTAGAAAAACCAACACTAAGCGTACATTATGCAAAGGTCGAAGGACAGGGGTCCGTACATAATACACAGGTATATTCATTGTCTATACATAGCTCTATGAGCACATCATCAAATGCAAGTTCCAATACGTTCTCCTTTCTGAGGAAGAAGGAGGACGTTTACCTGCATGGTCAGAAGTCCTGGAAGGGTAAATTACTCCCAGTGGTAGTTCAGGTACCAGATGGTTTCATTGGACAGGGTGGGTCCAAAAAGTGGGTTCAACTGGGCCAGAATTGCTATCAACCAGCTGATGGACAGATATTACGAGAACTTGGGTCAATACAAGTCTGCAACAGAACTGTTGAATTGTAAAAAAAATAATATTTAAAGCTTCTTTTGGTGGATCATTTCATAAAATAAATATTTAATTCTAAATATAGTCCCACATTTTCAACATAAAACTGAGGGTAACTTCACTCCGCTCCAACTCTACTTTGACCCTACCAGGCTTCTTTTTCTTTTTCCCATCTGACAAGTTACAACCGTGAGTATAAATAACTTAAATAACATAAATAACAGAAACATTATATGGACACATAACATCAGTAACTCCATTATCACTTTGTTTTAAAACAACAATAATAACACACAATAGATGTGTGCACTCTATTATTCATGACCGTCATTCGTAATGTTGCAAACAAAAAGTCAACATATTTTACAGTCCAAATAATTCAATAAGCCAAAGAAAAGAAGCCTTTACATTTAAAAAGGTTAGTCACTTCTGCTTTAGACAAAAGAAAATCACTTAAATGATCAATTCAAGTGATTATCAAAATAAATAATCAATGGATTGATCTTAATAATTTGAGATATTAATATTATTGACCTGATTCTTCGTGGCCCTCCGCACTTCTTAAATATAAGTTATTAGTGAAGTTGTGACATGAATTAAAACAGAAAGCACCGCAACAGTGTTAGAGACATTTTCAAGGATGATACTACTTACAATAGGTAGCAGCAAACCGCAGTCAACACCAGCATTGTGACAATCACTCTGCAGGAACAGGAGACACATTTGTAAAGTGTTAAAACTAAAATCTAGTGACTTAGTCGGTTTAAAATACATCGGAGGCTTCTTGATCTCGTGATGCGAGTCATACGGGCGAATAAGGGAAGTGTCATTCGGCACACTTTCCAGAGATGGGGGTAACGTTACGTTTACTCTTATTTATTATATCTACATGTGTCGGAATAGACCATATAGATGCATAGTAGCCAGATGTTAGTAACCCCCATCGCTACTTTTGCGGTGGTGCTGCTACTTGTTTCAACCCAAAGTCACGGGACAACGTGACGTTAGCATCACAGAACTTCACTGGGCTAAGGTTAGCTCGCGGCAGAGAAGCTAACGAACTCACCCTTTGTTAGGTCCTTTGGGGATAAACCAGGGCACCACCGCTCCAACAATGCCCCAAAACAGAGTCATCACGGACATGGCTATCACAAAACCCAGGTCCGCCATGGTGGTGGTGTTTTCTTTGACACCAAGAGGGTCTCAGGAGAGAAAACTTTGGGCTTGAGAGGACTTCGGTGGAGTTACTTTAGCGGCGGACGCGTCACGTGACCATCAGTCATCGAGGCAGGAAGTGGATGGTTGATGATTCACACGGCGCACTAAAGTAGTAAAGTTATTATATATTGCGTTCAGTTACACGAGTATTTCAATTTAAGTGTACTTTTTTCCCGTTTGAGAAGTAGCAGAAGCTACTGCAAGATGTGTTGCTGAGAAACTTGCTGTCACGGTATTTATTACATATCGGAGTTTGGGAATGTTTCCGTCTGTGGTAAAAAAGTGCCACCTACAGTTGATTTTATAGAATTACAAGAATAGTAAATAGTAACATACAAGCAAAATCCCAATGCTTTTACATTGTTGAAAAGGGGGATAATATAACCTTTCCCTCTAAACTGTTGAACAGGGAAACCAAGTTTGAAAGGAAAACATTCCAACTCATAAATATCACCATGAAATCACCAAGCTGATTGATTACATTAAGACGTTTTACCTTTTGTCTTAAATGTTTGAATTGGAGTACAAACGGACACCAAGTTCTGAAGACGTGGAGATTTCTGCCTCAATTTCAAGCAAATATAAAAGCCAATATATACCAAATATGCTACCAAGTCTGTAGACAATATAGTGCAGAAAAAGGAACCTCCAAATGTGTATGTTGAAAATTTGCCATCCACTGATCTGAAAGACGTGTCACAGCAGCAAAATAGCTCAAAATGAATCAGAGCCTGTTAAGGCTGGCGCATGCTTCTGCGTTTGCGTCGTTGCGTCGACGCACTCGTTTCAATTCATGGGTCTGCGTGTGTTGCAGGCAATTCACCTCCAGAACAACAGGCGGAGTGACGTGTTTTTGTTGAAGACGACCTAGAGAGTCACGTCTATTTGTTTGTTTATTTATCATAGACTTTATTGCCCCGTGCAGCGCCACTGCTGCTTTTCATCGCGGACACATTTGTCCCGTATTTTCCTCCACAACGTTGTGCACCTCTCGACCGGCAAACCGGCGTTTGCAGTTAGCGGACCAATCGCCGCCTTGTGCGCTGCGGGAGGCTTGCGAAAAACGGCTCGACACACGGGAAGGACGCAAGGTGGTGTGAAAAGCGACGCAGACGCAAGGGGGTCTTGCGTCTGCGTCGCTCGGCCTCCCGCAGCGCACAAGGCTGCGATTGGTCCCCTAACTACGTCCTTTACGGAGTCTCACATTTCCGCTTTCATAGATTCCGCCATTATTAAAACGAAGAAAGTCAAGAACTTTTGTCGCAAGAAGTAGTATGACCGCTTATACAAGCCGTCATTGGCGGACGCCAATAAGGACGCGCGGATGGCCTCTGATTCATGGAGGGAGATCTCTGCAAACGTTTGCCGGTCGAGAGGTGCACAAAGTTGTGGAGGAAAACACGGGACAAATGTGTCGATGCACGGGGCAATAAGGTCTACGATAAACAAATCAACGACTTCCACACACAAAGACGTGACTCTAGGTCGTCTTCAACAAAAACACGTTACTCCACCTGTTGTTCTGGCGGTGAATTGCTCTGCAACACACGCAAGACTTTTTAAACCATGAAACCACACCTCGAAAGTTAAGGTAATACATTCAGCTTTCTAAATTAAGAGCAAACTTCTGCCATCCTTTTCCTACACCCAAAGCGAGTGAGACACTCACGTGATCACTGGATTAAAGGAAGTACAGTGTGGGGTTGGTGGGCTTCGTACCTGGCGTTGATAAGGATCAATTCGTCGTATCAGGCGATGCAGACAACATTTAATGTGAACACCTGTATGTAAAAATGTACCCTAACAAATATTTGACACCGTGAAAAGAACGATCCTGCCATCCTCCACTTCAACACAAAACAGACAAAGTATGATCCATTTACACAGTTTATTGATAGCAAAGGGTAATTTTCACTCCTGCATCTTCTCAATGGTCTCCTCCTTGTATTTGCCCTTCTCCTTTCCATCGACGCGAGACTTGGCCTTGCGCTCCAGGATCTTCTTACGGTCCTTGTCCAGCTTTAGCCTGGTGATGACCACCTGCAAAAGAAAACAAAGCAAGGTTGGAACAAGGCGTGGAATACCTCTGACATTTGAGTATGAGAATAGCTGAACTAATCGGGTGACTTTACAAGTGCTGGGGACACCACATTTTCTAATGACTGGACGAGTTATCAGTGGGCATTCTGCAGGTTAAGCAGTTAAACCACTTAATACACAATGTAAAAAAAGTACCACAAGCGGGAGGTAAGTCCAGGAGGAGCTATTATTAGCAAGTATTTGACCCAGCCACTTAAAGTGGAGTCCAAAGCGAGCAGAACTAAGATGCAAGCTTAGCTAACCCAACTAGGACCCAAGACTATTCCAAATAATCCAGCAAAAAACATTTGCCTCTGCACCCACGATGGGGAGCAAAAAGCCGTAACAGCTTGGTGAAATAGGCGAAAAAGTTGAACTTGCAGGTTTGCTGGAGGGGGTCAAACAAGTGTAATTCATCACCACATGAGTAGAGTCAGCTGCGTGCATGAATTATATATATATTTTAGACAAATAGACATGTGCCTGAAGCGGCTTTACAATATGCTAGGCATTAGATAACCTGTCCTCAGACCCTCGCATTAACTGAGGAAAAATCCTCCCAACAGGGCTCAACCAGAGGTTGCAAACATTTCAAAAGGAAGGAACCGGGTGTGTTAATTAACAATTTGTTCTCAGTAAGCAACCAGGCATAATACAAGGTCTAGAATAGTTTACTTAAATTTCTGACTAGGCCCCAACTGATCAGAAACAATGAAGGTTCTGATATTAAGCATCGCCTTTTACATTGCTTTTATATGTTCATGTGTTTACTTTTGGCCAGTCTTCAAAATCCTAAAGTTCTATCCAAAGTCTAGATTATTGAAATACCTATTAGAGGTTGAAAAAGTAGAACAGTGTCTACAACTGATAAGGAAGTCTTATTGTTTCAAAGAACTACACATGGTTCAAACTGCTCTCACAATATTAATATAAATCTTGATAGGCCCAGAGCGCCTTCGAAGCCAGCTGTCACGTGAGTTTTTATGGATGGAATTGCTCTGGTATCCAGCAGCACCGTCAGGAATCTGGGAGTTCTTTTTGACCAGGATATGACCTTCAACTCGCATATGACTTCAAGGACTGCCTATTTTCATCTACGCAACATATCAAAAATCAGGAACTTCCTGTCTCAAAGTGATGCAGAAAAATTAGTTCATGCGTTTGTCACTTCCAGACTGGACTACTGTAATTCTTTGTTATCAGGCTGCTCTTGTAAATCTTTTACGCCTCTCCAGTTGATTCAGAATGCTGCAGCAGGTGTATTAACAAGAACTAAGAAAAGGGATCATATTCCTCCTGTATTAACTTCTCTGCACTGGCTCCCTGTTAAATCAAGAATAGAATTTAAGGTACTTCCTCACCTACAAAGGCACTTGCTTGTGAGGTATCGTCGTATCTTAAAGAGCTTGTAACACCTTATTGCCCTACAAGGCAGCTGCGCTCCATAGATGCTGGGTTACTTGTTCCTATGGTTTTAAAAAGGAGGCTGGGGGCCAGAGCCTTCAGTTATCAAGCTCCTGTTTTGTGGAATGAGCTTCAACTTTCAGTCCGGGGGGCAGATTCGGTCAGCTCTTTTAAAGTAAAACTTAAAACTTTCTTCTTTGATTCCGCCTATAGTTATGGCTGGCTCAGGTTAGCCCAGACCAGCCCTTTGTTAAGCTGCGATAGGCTTAGACTGCCGGGGGACTTCTTAGCACACTCACGCTTTCGTTCTACAATAATTCACGTTTTATTATGCACATGACTAATTCAGCTTCTTTCCGGGAGTTTGTGCTTTCTCCCCTAGCAGGTCTCCGTAGATCGTAGTTCCTTCTGGACCGTGGTCCTGACACCTGCCGTGACCCTGCTGCTGCCATCATCATTATTATTATTATTTTAGATATTAATCATTACTGTACTCATAAACCAACATTACCCTCTCCTAAAGTCTCTGTGCTCTCCCTCCCCACAGGCTTCTGTGGATGGTGGTTCTATCTGATGGTGGTTGCCCCTGCAGTGGTCCTGCTGTGCGCCTGGCTTACTACTCGCAATTACTTGAATCATTTCTGTCATAGGAATTGAACGTATTATACATTGTTCATTCCATACGCATGTTGTTGCTTTTTGGACCTCAGGAAGACTAGCTGTCGTCTCAGCGTCAGCTAACGGGGATCCTTTTAAATAAACAAATAAACAAACATGGCATCCATTGTAGTCTGTCAATCCCGGGAGTGGGATCCCTCCTCTGACGTTCTCCATAAGGTTTCTTCCCTTTTTTCCCCCCTCTTGAAAGGGCTTTCTTCATTTTTTGGGGAGTTTTTCCTGTGCCGATGGTGGGTTTCGGGACAGAGGATGTCGTATGTGTACAGAGTGTAAAGCCCTCTGAGGCAAATTTATAATTTGCGATTTTGGTCTATACAAAATAAAATGAATTCACATATGTAATTGAGCACCTCTTTCACAATTATGGGCAGAATGATCCTTTTTTTTCCTGCAAGACGTTGACCGTTTAGACATCGGGTTAAAATAAGTTAAATCAGGTTTGGTGCTGAATATCTCGGTTCGGAAAGGATGAAAACAAAATTGACCTGCTAATCCCACCCTTAGCTGGGCTTCTTAACTAATTAGCATTCTGCAGTACAGAACGCCGATTAGAGAAGCCACACAACCTCTGAAGTGTAACAAACTAACATTTCTCTATTACTTCCAGGAACAAAAGACGGACGGGCAATGATCTTCAGGCAATTTTTTTTTTAATCATCTAATAGCTTGTGTAACACTTATTTTAACCTGAACTGTCAAAAAGAGATACACACTTCCAAACGTGTGGGTGTTAACACAGATAATAGGTTGAGATTCATTAACTGTTAACAAGACTAACAAACATTTGACAGAAATGTCTTGTTCCACCAGAAGAAGGCCACTAAGTCGAGGATCTACACGACTGACTCACCTTGCTGGGGTGGATGCCGACATGGACTGTGGTTCCGTTGGCCTTCTCCCTCTGCACGCGCTC